CAGTATGGAGGGGCTCTRTGCCAACAGGGAAAAAACTCTGCAGTGCCAAACTAGAACTTCAATGGGCTCTATGRTAGGCTGTAACAGTSTTCTTTTTTCAGACCATATTAATGGTTATGACATATCTCATAAATTGTAAAACTCTTCTTGTATCTATCCATCCTGTTACACAAAGTTATTAGGCTCTATTGTTCCATGTATGCTTTCTTTGTCCCTCAATATGCCTTGTTTTCTTTTTTAGTCTGATTGTCTGATGCCATTACTCACATACCAACTGTATTCCTTCTTGGCATACTGGTTAAACATGCCTCTAGACACCTTTGTGTATCTCACCATACATCAAGGAAATCTAATGAAGTGCGCAGTGGTTGCAGGGAACCCTGAGAAGCTGGAGGGTAGGTCTGCCATCCAGCAGGACCTCAGCAAGGTAGGGGAAAGCACAGAAAAAAAGCTCCTGAAGTTTAACCAAGRTAAATGTGAATATTTTCTCTGAAAAGTAATAACTCTGTGCACCTGTGCTTGTGGACAGGGACCTTTGCAACTCAGTGACCAGCAAATGACCCTTGGTCAGCAGTGAAAAGTGGCAGTGTCCAGTGGTGTTAGTCACAGTGCTGTGTGTGTTCCCCCAGCCTGAGGCTGCCCTCAGCAGTCAGTCTGTGGCTGTTTCTAAACTCATCGATGAGTAGYTGCTTTGCATCTGAAGGGTGATCCCAAGGTGCAACTGCTATGGGAGGAAAGGGAGGAAGAGACAAACCAGACTGAATAGGTGAGCAAGTGTAATATCTTTYGTGGTACACTGTATTTTAATTTGCCTTTATGACATCACACTTACAGCTTGTATTCTATCCTCTGATTAATGTCTACTGTCCTTTTGGCTATCTGTCACCTGATAGGCTCTGACGCAGAGTAGGTGACATTTCTGCAAATCATCAGATCCATATTCTTATSTTGCACTTATGTATCTCATTTCCAGGTTTCACATTTAGTAGTACCCTTTTTTTCAAGCTGTCTTTAAGATGCAGTGGATGTTGGCTGAAAGGACATCATCTCTAGTGAAGTCTAAATTGTGCATTAAAGCACTATTCTGATAGAATATGTACAAGAGAGCTGTGTCTTTCTGAGATTTGAGGACAAGACTTTTGTAGTAATGCTATTGAAATTGCAGTGGTGAAAATAATTGATTTCCATTTCATGAGTCCAAATACATGAATGTATTCAAAAGCCCCAGAATGAATAGCAATTGATTTTGTGACTTGTTCCTGTTCTTCTGAATGTATATTCAAGAAATGAATCAAAACTTTTCTCAATTAAAAGAAAAAACCAAACACATAATATTGGAAAATACTGTATTATTGKCTTTTATTATTCTGAAAGCTTTTTATAATGATACGATAATTCAAGAATTAATAATTATTGGTTAGTTGCCCATAGCACCTTTGACTTCTCCAATTTGTTGTCAGCATCTGATTTATAATATCTGATTTATGGGATTCCAGCATCCCCACTTTCAGGAATACAGTCTAAAATTGCAAACTAGAATATGATGAATGAGTAAGGAAAAGACTAAAAGGCAGGATATGCCTTCAAYGGCAGTTAAATTTTATTTGAAGAGGAGCTGACTTTAAAAGCACTGGCAATTGCCACTGTTCTGTGAGAGCAAACAGGCCCTGCAGCCCCCTGTCCATGGCCATGGTGTGTGTGGTGTTATGGTCACCAGTGTGTAGTGGATTAATTCAGACTATATTGTTTCCTTAGCACATGTCTGCAGCTTCTGGACCYATTCTCTTTTTAGAGGAGAGTTTATCCACCATCGTTCTGTTTGGTTCCTGGGATTCTTGACCTGATACCTTAATCTGGAAAAAGTCTTTCACTGGTCACTTAAGGGGAGTGCCATGATGGATGTCAGAGTTCAGCTGTCCTTCATGTATGCTGGGCTGTGTAACTGGTGACATTATCCTCATTTAAAAAGGCTGTGAAGTCAGGTCTTGAGTTTTYTTCCATATCTCCTATATTCCTCCTGCACTGCAGCTGTGCAGGAAGCTGTGTCTAGCAAACTGAGCTGTGTTATAGGGGGGTGGTGGAGGAGAGGAGTTACAACAGAGGAAAGAAACATTCCTGAGAGTCCTCATTACAGAGCATGAAGAGACTGGGACACTGCTCATTTGTAAAAGTTGTCCTCCACCCTTAAGCAGCTGTTCTGGTTTTCTGCATTGCCATGCAGTATTTGGACATCTTGGGAAGCCACAGATGTTTGACTCATAAACTGGACCTGATTTGATCCTTATTCCTTACTGTGGAGCCTTCTGGCTGAGGTCACTATGACTCAAACCTTGCTCTCAGCTCCCACTTCACTAGGGAGCAACAGTTTTGTTCCATGTCAGGTCTGGCACTTGGTCCTCAGCTGTTTCACCATCACTTCCTGTGTTTATAGCTGGACAGTGGGTCTTGGCTTTGGACATGACATTTACTCAGATTTATGAGAGTTTTCTGTGAACTTTATGCCTGACACAGATGTTTCAGAGAGAAATGCTTTTGTATTTCTGTAGTTTTAAAAAGTATTAAATAAGAAAAATAAGGACAGTATTAACATAGCACAGCTCAGATCAGCTSTTTATAATGTATTGCTAACCCAGGATGAATGCACAAAGACAATTTTTTGTGACTAGGTGGAACATAATTGAATATATGTATCTATAATCTAATAGTCTGAGGGCATCCTCTCCATTTTTTTTGTATTTGTAATCCAGTATTGGACTAATACTGTGAATTGCATGGTAATAACTTCTACTAGTTTTTATATAATGGAAACAGTGAAAGTAGTCATTTCTATCCCAAGAAGCATAGAGTTAAAATGGGATTTGGCTGGAACCCAACAGCTATTTGATCCATATCCAGCTGTAGGGCCCAGATACGCCRTTCCTCCATCACATGGCAGTGTTTGGAAATAACCCAGAGAACCAGTCTCAGGGTGCCTCAGGGGCCTGTGGCATTTCAAAGGTCTGCAATGGATCAGGTGGTAATGGGGTGTATCTCTCTTTTCTCCTGTGATATGTCTGCTTTGTTTTATACTTCTTTTTGCTTGACCTGCCCCTCATCTTTTAATTTTTTTTTTTATGTTCTGTTGTTATTTCTTTCAGTTGAGCTCATTCTGTCTTAAAATTTGCCTCTTGGAATAGTGGTTTAATTACTGAATGGATGTGTTGTCTTCATTCTGCCTGCTCTGTCTTTATCTCTGTTCTTCATTTTGAATCTTCTAGYTCATTAAGTCCTGTGGAGCTAGAACTCTTTGCTAGTTAAAGACACTAAAAAAATAATATTCTTATCAGATCATGCTGCAGTTCTATAAACAAGCTACTTAATCATGCTTTTATGTTAATGCCAAAGAAACAAATAAAAATTKGTTGCACTGTRATTATAAACAAACAARTACAAARTTGCAGTCYAAATATTGAGATACTTTTCCTTCCTTTGGGTTTTGTTTTTTAAATTCTCCTTAATGCTCTCCGAAACAAGATTAACTATAGATTTAAATGGAAATTAATCATTTATGAAAGAAAAGAAAGTAAAAGAGAAGTTGATGTTCCCTGAAATCCTTCATGGTCTGAAGCAGGGATTGTTTAAATATAAAACCTAGGACAAAACTGTGGGAATGCATTGAGTTACAAGAACTGGAATGCAACTATGTGTAGTGAAATCTGCAAAAGCTGGGAATGTCATGCTCAGTGTTTGAGATCTGCAAGCAATTGGCAGCGTTTTTCAGAAGTGTTCTTGTAAAAAAAAAACTCCTTTTCCTGAGTTTGGTGCCTGATCCAATCTCTTTTTTTTTTTTTTTTTTTTTTTTTTTTTTTGGCTTGTACTCACGTGAACTAGAACGGAATTAGCACGAGACAGTAAAGCTGTGGTTGTGTGTAGTCTCTCCTCAATGATAAAGCTGACTTAAGAAATTCCTGCTCCAAATAGTTCTTCCCTGCCTGTATAACTTTTTCCAGGAAGAGCTGGGTTTTTTTTGTAGGAGTGAAATGTGAAATGTCTGATCCCATTTTCCAAAAARCATTACAGAAAAGTTCCTATTAGTATTTTTTTCCCAAGATGGGCTACTACTGGTAAACAGTGTGGCTCCATGAGCAGTTATGCTGAAATGACTGGAAGAATGGGCCCCCTGTGATGGGAGCAAGGACACTCCTTGCCAGAAATGAGTCCATTCMGCTCTCAAGGCAATAGCCTGATGAAGCAGCAATGTTCATGGACTCTGAACAAAGTATCATCCATTTTCAGTCTTCTGTTTTTTTCAGGTAGCAATAAGGAAGGAGGTGTCCAAACAAATACCAGCTTTCAAGCAAAAAAAAAAAAAAAAAAAAAAAAAAAAAAAAAAAAAAAAAAAAAAAAAAAAAAAAAAAAAAAAAAAGCTGTGCTTTAGCAATGCTCCACGAAAACAGCTTTTGCAGGCAAGTTAAATTTGACCAGCCTGGAAGATTTGACTGATCTAGAGTAGAGGTAAAGGATCTAAACAAGTGTGCCATCCAAACTTCCTGCAGGTTATTTGATGCATGGCAAGTGCTGTATTTTTTCCTAACCTCATTGCAAGCTTATTCATGAAATAGCTGCACTATTTGCAGGTTTGAGGCAGGAGGTCACCAGAAGAGTTGAGAAATTTCCCTCAGTCTTTTAGTTTCTTTCCTTTGTTGTTCGCTTTGAACGTATAGACTATTGTCCATACAAGAATAGAAAAAGAACATTTTGATGTGACAGACATAGGACTGATAAAATTTGATCTCAAATTTYTATCAATAGACCATGTTTTATCAGAAAGGTAGTTTTTCTTTTTACAGTCAAATTTCCTGCAATTCTTGTGGTTAAAGTTTATGGTGTTTTATAGTTGGAATTAAGTAAAGCTGTGGTGACAATAAAAGAGTTAAATGAATGTGTGTCTGTCCCTTCTACCAAGACTCAGAGTATTTTTTGTGTACAATTTTAAAAGAAAACCTCTTTTATCCATGCAGGGCAGCTTTAGAAGAAGTAGAAGGAGATGTGACAGAGCTGGAACTAAAACTTGACAAGGTAAGCTTTTAATTCAACAATATTWGTTCTTAAAAACATCAAAAGATTTGTTTGGGTTTTGTTTTAAGTTCCCAGCTGGGAGGTGTCAGTTGTGACCGAGCACTCTGCTCTTGCAGAGGTTACAGGGATGCAGGTCAAGCTCACAGCTGGGCCTCGGGGGCCAGGCTGGAATGAAGCAGCACCGGGCAGCTGAAATCACAGTGTGAGCTCGATCCTTCCCCCAGTGAGGCTCCGTGTTTGAGCAATTCCCTCCTGGCCTGGTCCCTCACTGCTCCCCTGAGGCTCAGCCCCGGGGGAACTGCATGCAAACTCATTCAACTTTCACCAGATTTTATCAACCAGGTAAAATCCTGGTCTTGGTCATTGCTGCACTGAGATCCTGTTATACCTCCTCTGCATGCTGTGGGGACATCTGGATACTCTTTGTTTTAGAGGTTTAAAATCCGTGCTCTCATCTTTGGTAATCTGGCACAGCAGAAGCACAGCAGGCTGGGTATATACATCATTCACTGTTGTCTGGAGGACTTGACTACTGTCAGATTCATCCTGGTTTTGGTCATGCTTTGTGCATMTATATAAAAAATTGTAGCATCTCGTCAGCTCCTTACTTCAGCTCTGTTTATTGGTTTCCTCACCTTTGGAAGCTTTTGTTATTTCTTTGCTAGTATTTTGAGAGTTGCTTATTTTTGGTTTTCATCTGTATGAAGTCGCTTCCCTTTGCATTTATGCTAAATGTTTTAAATTATTTTTTATCTGTTTTCGTGTGGCAGACACATGTCATTTATTCACCTCCTTAACTGCTTTTTGAATACAATCTTTTGTTCCTGCAGCTGTGAATTGGCTGCAGAGAGCTAGAAACGAAGTTGATGTCAAACCTTATTGTTTACTATTTGCAATAATATTTCTTGTTTTTTGTAGTTTAACAATTTGCTCTTGTAAAACAAATTCAAGATCATTAATTTTTATTTGATGTGAATCTTGGTGAAGCTGAGGGGTATGAGATACATTTTTAATGTAGCAGTGTTGAATGTTTTGTTAGATCAAACAGCGTAAGTATTTAAAGGATCTGAAAAATCTATCTTGGAAGTTTGGCTTTTTCACCAGTCTGAAAGGATTGTTTTTGGGGAAAAGAATTTTCGAGTTCCTTAAATGGCATTATTCAGGGCTTTGTAGTACCACACTAAAGTTGAAAGCCAAGCTTCTTGGGTGAGCTGAAGCAACTATGGCCTGAGGGTAATCATTTTTCTAGGCTTGGTTGGTAACTTTTTCTGCTCGGTTCACGCTAAACTTCATTTTATTGTCCCACAATTTTGACTTTGGGCTGCATTATCTGCAGTTTTTTTCTCTCTGAAGAAAGCAAGCTGGGTTCTGGCTTGTGAGCTATAAGCAGAGGTGAAGGAAAAAAGTTAATGTTGATAGTGACTTTTTTTTTTTTTTTAACAACTTCGTCTGTTGTTCAAGCAACTTGGACATTCATGAGAATGTGAGACATCATGCTCAACTTTCCCTTTTTCTTAAGGAGCTGAGTTAACGTAAAAATTACTGGTAAGGCAGGAAGGATACTGGGTGGTTTCTTTGCCCCAACATGGGATACTTCTGTGTTGCTTTTCATGAAAATTTGTTTACCATCCTTGAAAAACCTTTCAGAGAGGAAGGTTCAATCTTCTGATTTTATTCTCAGCTTGGTTTAGGGTGGGGGAACTCAATAATGATATGCCCCTTCTCAAGAGAGCATCTTGGCAACTGCAGTAACCACTCTTTCTTTCATTAATGGTCCAGTGCATAAATGGTTCATAGAGTGGGAAAACATCCATCACAAGATACTAAAGACTTTCCTRTCAGAYTGTGCAGTACCATGAGRGCTAAGGTGCTGACCGAAGCAGAGAGTGGTAGGGATGGAAAGCCATCAGAGTGAGTGAAAAATGATTGATTTCACCTCCTGAGATGTAACCGTGGCTCTTCTGTTGTGCTTTGTGCACAGTCTTTTTCTTTCCTGTGCCTTTATTCTGAGTGTCTCAGGATGAAACAATCGATGTGGGTTTCTTTTTTGTTTTGTGGTGTTTTTCCTCAGAAACCACAATACCCTCTCCATCTGCTTGGGTTCTAACCAGTTATATTTTAGTTGCTGTACTTTTTGCCCCTGTAAAACTCTTGAAATATGTGCAAAATTTCAGTTAACAATAAATCAAGTAAAAAATAATTTTAAAAGAATCATACAGTGGTAACTTCCTCAATGGTATATTAGTTGTTAATATAACTAAGTTTATTGGTGTTCATGTTTAAATGATGGTGTAAAAACCAAACAATAAGCCTTCGACTTTCTCTCCTTTTTTATACTCATTTTAGCTGGTGAAGCTTTGTATTGCAATGATTGATACTGGGAAAGCATTTTGTACAGCCAACAAGCAGTTCATGAATGGAATTCGAGACCTTGCACAATATTCCTGTAAAGATACTTTRGTTGAGGTAAGTTCTTTGAGGTGAAAGTGGAGGTAGAGAAACAACTTTGAAAGGGTGAAATGTAACAGCTGGCAAGAGAAGTAGTTGAAGTTTATAGTATTATTTGCCTTCTTGCTCCTTTTTTTGGTATCTCTAAGGCTGAGGTTTTTCAGCTGTGGTGCACTGGAGGTGTTTGTGCTGTTCAGTTTCAGCTTTAACCTGCAGTGGCAGGGGTTTTCCAAATTTCAGAAAATATGTATTAGATTGCATTACATACATTACAGAAACAGTTACGTGTGTGCTGATGATTACAACACGTTAACTGGTGTTTTTTTGAGTAAGAGTATTAAACATGAGAAATATTAAGTAGTGTAATATTAAATACTGTAAATTAATCTTTTCGATTATGTGAGCTTACTATATGTTTACTCAATTAGAATTTTTTCTGCTCTCCTTCAGTTTTTCTTTACATACAGGTAGGTAAAAGTAACATTTTTGTTGCTTGTATCTTTAAGAGATTTATTTGATATTATAGCTGTGTTCTCCTTCTAGCATAATGGTTTTAGTCTCATAACCATGCTATAAGGAAAACTAATTCCCAGATTCTTTACTGAAAAGCTGTAGACCTCTGAAATGTCACTTTTATKAGGGCTTAACTTTAACCACTTTTATTTTCCCTTTACAGACCAGTTTGACAAAGTTCTCTGACACCTTRCAGGAAATGATCAATTATCATAATGTGAGTATTTCTAGCTGAAACATGGCACTGATAGCTCACCTCCAGTTCTATTTGATAATAGATTAATGGTAAAGCTTTTCATGTTGATAATGTTTGCAATGGCTTAAATGGTGTTAAATAACTCCGATTTTATACTTGTAAATATTTTTTTAATGTTTTGCTTACAAAGTATTTATAAATATCCCCTTTTCTGAAAATTTCTATCTTGGTTTATTTTTCATTTGGAATTTGTAAGCTTTGGTGCTCTTAGACAGTAAATATTGGGTAGTGTCATCTTTTTGAATCAAMCTGATGGTAACAGAGTTACAGACTATGAGCTCTGAAATGTTGTGGTCCTGCATTGCTTTTTGTGAATCTGCTTAGTTCAACAGGGCTTCCTGGCTCAGAGTGACAGGCCTGTTGCTGACCATGAGAGGGAGAAGAAGCTAGAGGAGGAGAGAGGAAAGAAAGGATGGAAGGGGTGGGAGAAGTTCGCACTGAGTTCTAGATGACTGTCAGTTTTTTCTTGTATGATTTTGCTACAAATAAGGCCAAGGACCAGACTAATGCAGCATCTCCACTGATTCAGCAGTGGGGGAGTAGCAGAGACAGCTTATGGAAAATAGCAGCTTTCTTAGACTTGGAGTGGATGAAAGGTTGACAAGGCTGTAAATCTAATCAGATGGTGGTCTGGGCACTTCTTTCTGTTCTTTTAGGGGAAAAGATGTGTATGTATTTTTCTGCCCAACACATTTTTTCTCTTCATTGCTGTAAGCAGGATTGTGAGGCTCATATTTCTGGGAGTCCTCTAATCATTTGAATTCCCATCTGGTTTGATCTTTTGGTATTGATCTTGATTGGWGCACTCCCCAGGCACTGGCAAGCTTAAATGTCAGCAGTGGGAGTAGTCCCAGCATGAATTCCAGTTTGTCAAGAAGTCCTTTATTCTAGTTGTCTGCTTTCTGATTTCCCAAAATGGGAATACAAACAGGATTTGCCATGTGTTACTGGTAGATACAGGACAATTCTGGTTGAAGGGGCTTCATGTTTGACTGCCTGCCCAAATCAGGGTCAGATCTGAGGCTGGAGTGGGTTGCTTAGGCTTTCATCTCATTTGGTCATGAAAACCTCAAAACGTGGAGACTGGATGGAAGACACAGTACCACTGTTAAAGAGTGACTTAAACTCAGTCATGTTTTCCTTCAGTGTTTCTAGAAAAGAGATATGAGCTGGTAAGGGTTTTGCTGTCAGTACTTGGCATTACTTTTAGTARTCCAGCAGTGGGTGTTTTTTTACAAACATATTAGGTAAAGGAATGGTAGTAATTAYTCATRTATGYTGCATTTTCAGGATTTATTTCAATCCATGGATTTTGGTTTTTTACCAGAAGTTAAGAGCATGTTCTTTCTGTGATTTCATTTGTGTTTTAATTGTTGATAAATTGTGAAAGTGTAAGAACCAAAAAAATTGTTCCTTAGCATTCAAAGCTGTTTCTTCAGGAACATTACTGTACAATTAACATAAATAAACTTCTTCTATGAAACCAGGCATGTCTCATATTGTCCACATGGGAGAATAAGATGCCAGGAGCTCTTATCTCTCCTTATAACCACAGTCTTTAAGAAAAGAGCAGCAAAGATGTTTGGTTTGTGTTATTTTCCTTWTTTTCTTCCTATTATCTTTTATTTATTTCAAAACTAGTATGAAGGGTTTTRTATTTTGATATTAGAGACACAGTGGTTTAATACTAATTCCCACCTAATTCTGCATAATTGTCATTKGTATTTCTGAAATCAGAAAATATGAGTACCTCTAAGTTACTGACCTACATAATTATGCTTTWATTTCAGATTCTGTTTGACCAAATCCAAAGATCAATTAAAACACAGCTTCAGACTTTCGTTAAAGAGTAAGTTAATTTGCACTTTTCACAGGAAAATAATACATAAAATGGAATTTAAAAAATCTGTCTGATTTGCATGGTTTGGTGAAACATCCTTCCTGTAAAAGCCACTCATAAATTGAGAAGTGTGTATTAGGCTTTGTCAAAAATCACCCCAAATCACTGAGGCYTTAGATCCAGCTGCAGAAATGTTGCAATAGTATGATTTACTGATSTAATTACATGTTGCAATTGTCTAAGCTTGGAGGTCAAAGCTTTTCCCCRGTAAACATGGGATGTGTTCAGTTGCATTTCAGTTTTGTCCTTTCCTCAGAAAAGAAAGACAAGAAGCTCACGTCATAATTTGTAGATTTCCATTTGACCCAAGCATGTATTGAAGAATAAAAAGTATGAAAAATAAACCAACCATGGCAGTCACAAGCTTGGTCTGTCTGGTGTAGCTTTAAATACTTTGTCATGCTTTGGAATTCATTTGTTATCCATATTTCTTTTTTTCGTAGAGATATTAGGAAATTTAAAGATGCGAAGAAACAGTTTGAAAAAGTGAGTGAAGAAAAAGAAAATGCTCTGGTGAAAAATGCCCAAGTTCAAAGAAATAAACARCATGAAGTAGAGGAAGCAACCAATATTTTGACTGCAACACGGAAGTGTTTTCGACACATAGCTCTCGATTATGTTCTTCAGGTAAGGGCAGCAGTAAAAGTTACTTTCCAAAACCATTTGTTACATATAGTTAGAGAGAAGTCTTTTACAGCTTTAGGACTTGTTTTTATAAGCTTCTGGAAAGCTGTGAAGATTCAGGGTAAAAGGAAGAACTTATTTGCAAGTAATTTATTTTTTAATAAAATCTGAGGAAAATTAATTGATGCATTCGTATTGCTTTAATGCTCTGGTATTCAGTGCCCTTGCTGCAATGACACAGTTTAATTTTCAAGTTGAACATTAATTATTAAAAAARCCCCAGTATTTGCCTAATACTTAGCTAAATGTTTCATGTGTTGGCTGTGCTGCAGTTTCTTACATATTTAAAGTAAAAACTGTAACCTAGCCTAGGAAATACAAATTACCTGAATAATTCTGCTATAAGATGTTGGGTGCTACTACAATTTCATCTGTATGCTTTGGGTTGTATCAAACTTCTCCAGATTCCTGAGATCTTAACTATCCTTTACCTTTTTAGTAAAGATCTCCCATAGGATGTTGAGAGGTTTTCTTTGTCATACTGCTTTGAACCCTGCAATACAGTAATACATTTTCTTTTGATACTTAAAATTCATCTGCTTCACATTTGCCCAAAACTACAGCAAAACAGGATTATTGCAGCTCAGATGGTGTGAGAGGCTGGGGGCTCTGAAATGGGTCTGAACTCATCCTATGATCAAACACAGAACAGCTCTTCACTATTAAGGCTGATTTTATACTAGATATTAGCATCTTGATTTGGGACAGTTCAATCAGTTATTTAAAGCTTAATTAACTCTTCTGTAAATTGCATTATGAGCTATGCAATGAAAYGGAGCCTGTCAGCCTGGCATGTTCACAGATATGGTGGTCAGTGGTCAACACTAATCCCCTGCTTTTTGAACACTGAGGTCACTTTGGTGTTTAAAAAGTGTGAATTATGGTGCACTGGATTTATTTGTGCTAACACTAAATGGTGTGGGGGAAGCTGGCAGTAACTACTGTAAGTAGGCCAGTTCCTTGTGTGTGCACTGAACTGCAGGTTGTTTGCCTCCTGGAATTTGTATATTCAAAGTATGAGCAGTTCCTGGAAGAAAGATGCATTTAAAGTAACAGAGAACAGTTTCAGCATCTCTTAAYGCGGACAAAAATTAATTCAGCTTTTTAAGAATTCTTTCTGCTTGCATGGTTCTTCTGGGAAAATGGCTTCACAACTATGGTCTCCTTGTAGCTAGATTGGCTGTAAACTGTAATTCAAAACCTTTGTTTTGCTACTTTTTTTCCCTCACAGGCTGAGGGTTTATTCTATACAAGCAAGTCTTAATTATTTTTGCTGCAGAAGGTTTTCCAAAATAATGACCACTTAAGTACGGAAGTGCAATCTGGTTTTTATTATAGCTTCAGCAAGTTTATTTCTTTTGCTGAAATTCTAAACTGACATAGAGGTGTTAAATTACAAAATCATGCCTGTTTCTGCTAAGTGGGTCTTTTAAAGTAAAATCCTGGCAACCTTTAAATATTAGGGAACAAAGAAGATAGGGGAAAGAGGTGAATGTGAAAAATCAGTTGTTTTTTCTATATAATCTGAAATTCTTCAAGTTCTAGGGTAACACTGCTGGTCAGGGACTTTATCTTGTTTAAAAGCACAGGTATACATGGAAAGTTATTTACTGAACTTACTATGTGCTTGCTTTCCTGGAATGGCTTTTGGGACACTTAAATTGTGAATCTGGGGAAAAAGTAACCCTTCCCCCATCCTTCCCTCTCCCTGGCAGCAGACAGCACGGTGTTGCATGCAGCTKCTGTAAGAACTTGGTGGGCTGGCTTAGCTCACACTTAAACATCTTGAATTCAATCTTTTGAAAAGGGGTACCAATTTTCCTTGCTTGAAAGGTGTATTMTATTACTTTTAGCTAGCACATGGTGTCTTGTATTTTCCTTTATGTTATAAGAAAATTGTGATTATMWCTGTGAAGYTCAAGCTTTGCAAGTGTTCTCTGCATCACTTTGATATCATGACAGAACTAGAATGCATCTTCTTTTAGAAATGTTTTGGGGAGTCTGATAGTGAGCTATCTTCTTCCAATGTTGTAAGCTTGGATATGATTATTGGGGGGAAAATTGCAATAAAATAAGAAGTTTAGAATAAAAGGAATAGCTTGTTTGTTCTTTTTTCCTAGATCAATGTTCTTCAATCTAAAAGGAGAGCAGAAATCTTAAAATCGGTAAGATATACTTTATCTTCTATATATCAAGTATTTTAATATATCTGAATTAAAAATGTGACCACAAAGCAGCATGTTAAAAATTTAGTCCTTTTATTGATGAAAGCATGATCAGTTCATTTGGCAATTTGGTGACTGTCAGTTTGGCCTTTATTCTAACTGGGCATACTTGTTTAACTGTTTTTGACAATCCTTTTGGTTCAGATTTGAACACTTASAGGTTTTCACTACTGTTGATCCTTTGCTATGTGTTTCATGGTTAAAATCAAACTGTTTGCCAAGAATTCTGCTCTTTAGGTCTGGTTTATTATCTTGTAAGGAGTAAGTGCTACTAATAATCTATTCTAAGATGGAATCAACTCCTTCTAAGAAGAGGGTATTTTTCAATATAATTAATATGGTGATCTGCTAAATTAATATAAGGCTATATCTGCATGCCAATTTTCTTCACATTTCATTCCTTTATCTACTTCACATTATCTCTATTAAAAGTTTATTGAGATAGAGACTGGCAAATTAAACAGTGCTTTTCATCCAAGAATCTGAAATTGCTCTCCCATAATTTTCTTAAATCCCTTAAATAGTAAAAACTGTACTTGGGTTGGTTTATAGTTCCTTGCTAGTCTATTCTGCACCTTCCCAGCTTGTTTTCTATTTTAAGGCCAGACAGTCTTGTCAGCTGTGTTTATAAAGGTTATGGTTTTGGGCCATTCATAAAATAATCTGTAGCCCCTCTCTAGCTTACATGTCCCAGTTAAACAGGAGTTAACAAAAATTTCAGGTGATAGGAATTAGATTTCTTCTGTTTTACTCATGGGGTTAATCCTATCAACTGATTTCTGAGATTTTTGGGTTGGTTCTTTGCCTCCTTTACCTTGTACATTAATTTCACAATATTGGAAGCTCTATGAGGTATTGATGTAAAATTGTCAGGACAGAAGCAGAAATTAAACATGGAATTTTATGTTGTTAATTTGAATTAAGTGACATATTTATGTGACGTGATAAATTTTTTTTAAGAGAATAAACATTTACTTTGTTCCTTCTAGATGTTATCATTTATGTATGCACATCTGGCTTTTTTCCATCAAGGCTATGATCTATTTGGTGAACTTGAGCCCTACATGAAAGATCTTGGTGCACAGGTAACAATTATTTTAAAAATACATAACTATATGCTGTAAYGGAGGAAATCTTGATAATATGCCTGCATATCAGGTACTTCATAGATTTATTCAACAAAAAGGAAATTGTAGTATGATGAAGGTAAAGCATAAAAAATATACTGTAATGAAAGGAATGAAAATAGTTACAAACTGAAAGTTGTCTGTTCACTAAAATTAATACTACCTTTAGCATTTACATACTTTACATCGCCATGTATTGCTCTGTGGGATACATTGTGATATTCAGGACACTGGATTATTTGGATTTCARAGTTTTTGTACATGACCCATGTTATAAATATATCTACTAATAAAAAGTAGATTAGGCTGGTTTGCCTTCTGCTCTTAGACTTCATTTACTGTGTAAATTRTGCAGTCTATACGTAATTAAATTTTCATATGTGCAAAAATAACTTTGATGTTAGCAACTTAGACCATAAAACRGAAGTATGATTTGAATAACTAATGCAAAATTGAGTTCCTATTTGGAATCCTTCTTGCCTAGTTTTGTTGTTTAAGGAGACACAATTGCCACRTCTGGGTTTTCAGTGAGGGACTCATGAAAAGCTTRGATGGACCTCTGCCAGCTGCACACAGGAGTCATTGAAAATGGTTATGCAAATAGATTAGAACGTACAATATTCAAATGAAGATCTGTCTGTGGTGCAGAAAGACGACTCAGCAGTGTCTTGACTTGTTTTTTAGTGCAAGTTATATGAGTGCTTTTTATTTGCTTCWATCTGAGGACTTGCAACAAGTGCTCTGATGCAAACCCCTCTATTGCTACTTCCCAAACAGATCCACAAAGGAACCAACCCAAATTTTTAAGTGTCTGTTCAAAAGCAAATAACAACAGCAAACTTTTACATTCATCTTCAGTAGATGTGTCACTGAATGTCTAAGAGATGAAATTATTCCGAGCTGGTTATTCCTGYCACCACACTGTTGTCATCTGTGCCCCTCAACCTGCTTCTGTGTCTGTGCAGCGAAGCAGACTGGGAACTGTAGAAAATTCCAAAAATCCAGTGTCTGAATAGCTATTTTTTTGCTAGACTAGGCCCCAGTTGGCTTACTGTGGGTMTTWATGAAGTGTAGAAACACATCAGGCYTTGGTGTTGTAGGRGTGCTTGAACAGTTCAGGTGGATGTTTCTCTTCAGGAATTGTGCCCTTTGTCCTTTCACACCCTTCCTGTTTGGATTGTAACTGTAACTGTGGAACTGTAATGCCTGGTAGTATAATGTGTGTCCTGTGCTTCTGTGCAAGAGGGGATAGGGAAAGGAGACAAAARCTGTGAAGCTGGTAGTGGGTTATGCTATCATCTAGGCTTCAATGTTTCCATTTCATTGAGGTGATTTGAGCAAGAAAACACAARGTTATTTTTGAATGTCTGGTCATGCTTTTGCTTGATCTGGTAAGGAGCACTGTGTAGCATTCATTTTGGTGCTGGTATCATAGCAACTGAAGGAGTTAAATTTAGAAAATCCAAAGCTAAGAATGTTTTAAATATATTGCAGTTGGAGCAAGGATAGACTGAAGACCCTAAAGTTGTACAACTTGCGCAATTGTTCTTTTGTAGCAGACCTTGGGCATTTAAGTAATGGATATTTTTCATGACAGAAGCAGATTTGTAAATAACTGTTGAAAGTTTTAACAGTTAATGGCTTTGCAGCTTGTGCTGGTTGAAGCTTCTGCCTTTAACAAAGTATGTGGTGACATAACGGGGATTTGCTGGATTTTTGTGGAAATGCTGTTAGATTCCTTCTGTKGGTGAGTGAGTCTTCATTCCTAGGTAAATTTTGTGTATGACCTTAATTACAATGGTTAACAGCATCTGAAGTAATAAAATTGATCTTAGTACAGTTATAATTTTGAATTATTTTGTTTGTATTTTCAAAATATCTGTTTTACTGTGATAGAATAGGATTGAGCAATTTTGCTTTCTGGRTACTTCAGGTCAGGGTAGGATCCCTTGGGAATCAGATCATAGGGGAATTTTAATCGTGTGCAAGCATAATATGTGCTTTTGCATGGAAACGATGGTATTTAGTACTTTTCATGTGAAACGTGGTATTATCTTAAAAAGAAAATATTTGARTTTTCATTGAGATGACTATACAAAAAGCTCATTTTAGTCTGACTTAATTCTCTTCARAATGCCAGTTAGAGCATTATGTTTATAAAAATACATTTACCAGTAAATGCAGTGGTTTGAAAAAGCTAATTTTCTAAAAATTACCCAGTAATACGACGGTGACTGGGATTTTGATAGTTTAGTTGTGWTTTGCTACAGCTTTTGCTAGTTGTATGCTGTTGGTCTCTTTTAAGACAATTGATGTACTGCTCACCTGAGTGAAAAGGGGAAAACTCTGGTTTGAGCTGGCAAACAGGAATGTTGCAATGCTGTCTTCATTGTAAAAAAGTAACTGATGGAATGAGCTGCTATTAAGARCCTTGTTTTGCCTGTGGTAAATGTACCCTGGAACACTCGTATTTAATATAAATTACAGGTAATTGCTCAACCCTGATTGCCTTCTGTTTCATCTAGTGGGGTAGAAGGAAGAATTTCTTGGGAGCCATGTGCAGATTCCTGAATCTGAAGTTTTGGCAAGAAATGTGATTCCTATGAAGTTTTGAACAGCACTTGACCCAGTTCTCATTTTTATCACATAAGAAAGGGTTTCCCAAGGGTTCTTGGTGCAAAACAGTCTTKGAGCCTAGTCTGTTTTAGACACTCATGTGTAATTTTTAAGTCCTATAGCTACATAAATGTGGCATCTGGACACTTCAGTCTTGAATGTGTTCATGTTCACAAATACCTATAAGGTGTGAAAGTGCTGGTATGGCCTTTTGAGCCAGAGACAGGGAGAGAAGAGTTAAGAAAAGTAACAGGGTATGGAATTGGATCCAGATGTCTCAGCTTTCTGATGGCTCCRTAATTGCTGGAGACTGTTTAGCACAAGGGTKTAAGAGCCTGTTATTGTCTCYTTTTTTTCTCATTTATATCATGTCAAACAGGGCAAGTAAAAGACTGGGGAAATGGCCAGAGTTGTCAGGACCTGTCACTTGTGGTTATGAGAGTGGGTGGAGGGGATCCTATTTGAGTGTGGATCAGAGATCCGTTAGTCATCTGTGCCCTCTGCCAAGTGAGTGACCCAGCTGGAAGCTGGTTGTGCTGCACACTGCTCCTGCTGTTCTCGTTGTGGGCCTGGAGCAGGACCAGCTCTGTCCCACAGACAGAGGGAGAGCTGCAGGCTGAGCTCTGTGCTCAGTGCTGCATCTGCATCGCTCCTCAGTGAGATGCTGGGGCTGTGTTAATGGCAGGCTTGTGTTACAGGCTGCAGGAAGGAGGGGTTCAGCAGATTCCATGGCCTGGCATATAAGTACCAAACCAACTGGTCTTTCAGGCAACATCTGCTTCTCTACTGCATTTCTTCTTTAAACATGAAGGCCTGTATAAAACCAACAACAAAACTGAGAGAACCAAAACGATAAAACAACAATAAAACCCCAAAACAACCAACCAACCAACCACAGAAAACCCCACCAAATATTTTACAGAGTATCTTAAATTTCCTCCTTTTTTTTTTCTTGTGATTGTAAAAGGAAAAAGTTTATATGGTAGTGATAGAGACATGCTTGCAGCAAGTTCTTGGGGAGTGTCTTTTTTGTTATCACAGACTTTGTAAGGATACTAAATTAACAGATTGTCMCGGAGAATATTTATTTTCCAAATCATGTTTTTATTTCCAAAATTAGTTTGAAAGTCTCTACCTAAGATTTCAAGCATCATGCTCAAGTACTGCTGGTCAGCTGATCAAAACTATTGACACAAAATCCTRGTTGAGACAGTTCTCCCACTTTGTGGAGGGAAAAATCCATAGCATTTGCTCCTTCTGGTTTTTGCTGCTCCTGCCAGTGCTGCTGCATAGGCCAGCAAGAGCAGCTAAAGCATGAGTCATCCTCTTGGGAGACTGAGCACCAATGCGGTACAGTCGCATATGCTTGGCACCATGCTGTTCTTTGAAACATTTCTTCTAATGCTTACAAGAAATGTACACCTTTGTAGAGGTTAATTCAGGGTGGCAGAGCAGTGCTTTAAACAAGGCTTCAGTGGTTATTCAAGGTAAACAATTTGTGACAAAGAATTCTACTATGCAAATAAAATAAAAATCTTGCAGTGTCTAGACATAATGTGTTCTTTTTTTTTTGTCAGCATTGTAAAATCTACTGAACCAAATTTCTCATGATAATCTAAAGATACAATTTTCTGTTTCTCTTTACAGCTGGATCAGTTGGCTGTAGATGCTGCAAAGGAGAAGAGAGATATGGAGCAAAAGCACTCCACTATTCAACAAAAGGTACTTGACAATGTAAAAGGCAGGCTGCACACACATTTTTTTTATCTGTAGCATCTCTGCATGAGAACTACAAGGGATGGTATTTTTAGTGCAGAGAGACAGACTGACACGTCATTAAGTGTAGGGTTGGATTGCACATATTAATTTTGTRTTACTGAACAAAATATTATGCCTAGTTTTTACTGAAACATAAATAGAACAGTAGAATTTATTTGAATGCTGGGATTCTAGCATTTCAGTAGAACTCTTAATTCTTATTATATCTTGGATTCAGTAAGTTGTACCAGTTTCTGTGTTTCCCTGCTGTGTGTTTTTAGAAGAGGTGTATGTGCTGCAAATYCCCACAGCCATAGGTTTCACTTTGGACTGTGCCAAATCTGAATGCAGCACTTGGAGCTTGCGTGGCAGCTGCTGTTGCATATAAAGAGCAAAAGTAAACTTTTATAAAGAGTGACTAATGTACTGGTTCAACTGTGCACACATATAAGAGTGAGAAAATTTAATTGCTATCTTGGGAAAATTTGTATGTGCAATAATTCTTTTGMTTGTTGAGAAAAACGTAGATAATTATTGTTGTGGGGGGAATCACTTCTGTTGTTTGGATGTTTCCGAAGCTCTACATCAGTATTGGTTTTGCAGGTATAATGCTACAAGTTAGAAATATTGCCACTGAACTCTCTGGTAGTGAGCTAATACTGCAGGTAGCTTTGAAAAGGATTAGATACCAATTTAAAGGTAATGCTATACTTCTYGCTCTCTATCAAATATGTTCTGTATCTATTCAGGTGGCATAAATTTAAAACAATTCCCACCCAAAGTAAATGAAATCTAATAACTAAATAAATTCAGGAATGAAAATATGCTGAGATTAGAAGTTAGGTAGCCTTAGTAAGAGCCAATATTAATACTAATTGGAACAGGTAACATTTTTGGTTGCTGAAAACATTTTTATTGGTGGATCATATCATTCTTTTAGGAGTTGGTGGGAAGCRTTAGGATTGCTGTGAAATTGAGCAGATGTGATGATGAGGGCAGAGCTGACATGCTGTGCTTGGAGTCAGGAGATTAACTACAGGCAAGGAAGGGGAAGGAAGGGGGGAAATTGGAAAGATGGAATTTGAGAATTAACAATGTTGAAGGTCAGATTTTAAGTTTTTTGGGCTCAAAGGCCTAGTTTAGGGAATGGACAGTAGTTAAGAGGTTTACTGTTAAGAGAACARTGGTACTTGGCAAAGGATGTAAGTTATGAGCAATTATCTTTTAATTGGCCATAGAAATAACTTGTTACCATGAATTATGGTCACTTCCAATGGTATTTACAGTCTTTGTTTTTTCTTCAAATGCTGCTTAAGGCTGCTTTACAGGTAAACTATTTCTACTAGTTTAAATTATTACTGAGAGTTGAAAAGCCATATCTGTGTGTAATATAAATGTTCTCGGTTTCGAGTAGGAGTGATGATCACAGTGTTGTTACTTTTATTGTTGCTTACTCTAATTGACAGTTTAATTCTGTCTCCAAAAATATAATCAGGGCAGTCAGAATGTACTGTTTGTTGTCCTCTTAAGTTCTGTGTTTCGGGTTGTAAATGTTGTCTCCTGTCCTTATCAGTGAAGTAAGTCACTGTCGCATTTTTCCACTGATAATGCCTACACTATGCTTTATTGGAGATTCCTCTTATAGCTTGTCCAATCATTTTCTTAATTTCTTACTCAAATCATGTTGTCTGTTTTTGTCTCCTCCTACTTGCTTTTCCCAACCTTCACACCAAGCTAGCTTCTGGCTCATCAGGATTTCAGAACTGCCTTAGACTTTGGATCTTGTTCTTTTTATCATTATTTGTCATCTGGTCATCCTGTCCCAGATGGCAACTTTATTCCCTGTTCTCTTCTCATGTCTTGCCATGTTGCTTTCCTCTATGTTGCCTCTTGGGCATGTGTTCYCAAATCTTTCAACGCCAAATCCTTCCATGTTTTATAACAACAGAAACTTCTGAAGCTTATTGTGTTGAATATTCCATGAGGTATATACGCATTTAATATACTGAAGTTCTAATCTAATGCTTCAGAATGATGCCTTTCCTTCATTGTGTGGATAAAGAACAGTTCCTTTTCTGAAATGTATAGGTAAGTGCATAMGTGCACACACCTACCCACCCACTACCTGTGTTTGCATATATGTGCATATGCATGCAGAATAATTGCACTAATTAAATAACCCATCTCACTTTTCTGTATGATCATTGTCCTACTCAATAAGGTGTTGATGGAGAGGCTAATAAAAGTGTCATGGAAGGGCTTGGTCACCAATATAGTGTGATTTCTTTTTTAACAGAGCTGATACCTGATTTGCTTTTTTAAATTGCTTTTAAGTTTTGTGGTCTATTTACTCAGCAAATATTCAGGAAACAGGTTTGGGTTTTTGGTTTTTTTTCAGGGTAAAAATTTTTTTTTCTGTATGAAACTGAAGCAACACATAYTGTGAATTAATCTAGAAATTCCATGATCATTCTGGGAAATTTTTGAAATATATTTGCACAGGGAAAGATTAATATTAAAAGAGTTGTGTCACAGTGTCAATACATTAGACATGACTTGTTTTCTCAGCAGTTTGCAGCCCCTTGCTGTAGTAACGCATTGAATTAAGAACTATTTTAAAAATCTGTTGGACCTGTAAACACCATCRTGGCTTTTTGGTTTTGTGACAAAGCTAATGTTTTGTTCTAAAATGAGGGAGATGATACAGGAAAAGTATTTGCATTGAACTTCAAATAGTTTTTGTTGTATTCAAATCCCTTTTTCATTAAAGTAAAAATCTGCTTCCGAAGATCTGCTCAGGAAACAGCTGGAGTGAGAATGATTTGAAAATTTTTTACATCTTGAGTAAACAAGGTGATAGGAAACCAGATGCTACCACAGTCAGAAAGCAGGCATAAACTAGAGCTGCTGCTGAGAAGTTACACAGGCTAATTCCTGCCTCCAAAACCAAAGATGTGGTTGTATTTCAAGTGGCTTGTTTGCTCAGTGACTCTCTCACTCTGTCTTGGACTGTAAACCTTGTCACTTGTGGTGTCTGTTGTTTTAAGCCCTTCCTCGAGGGACTTTCAGCTTAAGCAGGACAAACATCTCTTTCCAATGGAATGGGAAGGGAGTGGAAGCAACTTTCTAAATGGGAGGTTGCATAATTGGTGTCTCCTGGTTAGTATATGCTGGCCTAACTTTTCGGGTTAGTATTTCCTTTAGGCTATGGTCTGCCATTTACTGCCTTTTAAAATAAGCTTTTAAATTGCTGCTTCTCTAAAGTAGAAATAATTTGGGATACACATTCAATGGTAAAATACRGTTCTAAGATTTACTGATAAAATGGTTTGAATATCTTTCATGACCTKATAGCAATTTTGAAAGTAAATCAAAAGCTCTGCTGCTGAAAAGTAGGGGGGATTTTGTTTTGGTAACAAGAAAATTATATGTAGAGAAACAGAAAACACGCAAGCTTTGATATAAATCAAGTATGTGTGATGAATTGATACGTTCATATGAAAATGCAGTCACTGAAACAGTGTCAAGAATATTAAGTGCTCCGTGACACACCAGATTAGTATTATTTCTGGARATGAAAGTTGTTTTTCCATTGCCAGCTGGTTTGCTGTACCTCACGGACATTTAAAGAAAAAGGRRRGAAAAAAAAGCATGAAAGCATGCTGTATGCTTCACTTATATAACCCACTTCTACATGTTTCTCTTCCAGTAGCAGCCAACCGTGAGAAATGAGTGTCAGAATAGAAGCCATAGATGTTTCTTCTTTCAAATCTGAATGAAATGTGTGATGTAGTGAAAATTACGTAATACTGGCTAAATTTTCTTAGTTCTGGTTAGGTGAAATGTATTTTAGTCCTAACCGACACCTAATTAGTTAAATTATGTTTAAAATGAAATCTTTATCAGTTGTGTGCCTGCTGGCAGAAAACAGAATTCCGAATCACACACAATGACTGAGTTTATTAACATGTGAYTCTCTTATGCAGGACACTGGAAAGATATGGCTGTATTTCTCTCCACCCCCAATTATTTTTCATGATTCACTAAACATTTCCATGCACCAAGATAAAAATAAACTATGTGACTGCTTTGCTCCTATTTCTTAATTATAAAATAGCAGAGACTGTAAGATCAGAACACAGTTTATTTAATTTCTTTTTCTACTTTTATCTATGTAATTGAAATGGAGCAATTTTTTTCTGATTGTTTGGCCATATTTTTCCTGACCACAACTTTATCAATTTAGTTTTGAAGATGAAGCACTTGAAAGCCTTACTCCTACCCCCTCCAACTGGTAGTCTGCTATATACAGTTAAGGATATATTTGACATTTGTCACTCTATTCTGGTGTCTGTTTCTRCTCTGTAAAGGTTCAATTACATTAGGGAAGCAGTTAAAAATTACACTAAATGCACTTCATGAGGAAGGGTTAGTGTTTTTAGACAGTTTGGGCTGAGAGTGTGGCATGATAAATGATTCAAAGATTTCCTGTCATACTTGTATACACCTTCAGTGCATAGATCTGGACTCACTGGAAAAGATGGCTGCATTTTCTGCAGCAGTTCTCCATACCCAGAGGAAAATGTGATAACATAGTAGCTTAGCCAGAAAAGATTGAGGGAATGTRTGTTGTCTTTCACTAGACAAGGAGTTGCAGGCATCACTGCTGCAGGAAGATGCAAATCTTTAGCAGGTTTCATTATGTTTGGGAGCTGGTAAGTTAGAGTGATTTATCAGATTTTGGGGAACATAGGGAATGTGACATCAGCATGTCTAAGTTTGTGCTTATAGTGGCTTTCTCTTTTTAGTTTGAGAGCTTACATGAAGCCTTTTTGTTCAGTATGTTCTGATCTAGAAAACAGTCAGGAAATCAAAGTTATTAAAYGTTGGGTAATAAATGCACAAATTTGATTTCTTTCGGTGACGCTTTCATTTGTAACTTGTTTGTTTATTCAGCTCAGGGTGTGGTAGTGATATGATAGTTCCATTTTCTTTCAGAACTCTTGCATTAGTCATCTGTCAAATAATAAAAATCTAGATTTAACATTTCAACATTAGTTTATCTATTCAGATTAGTAAGAGTGGAGAACAGTAATTTTAAGGAATTTGTGCTGTGCTGACTAGGGAGCCTAAAGGGCCTGTTTTAATATTTGTAACCATTTCACTATCATCTGTAATTAACCTTGGATTGGACCAAACCATCTGCATGTGTAAGAGTGAACATCATGTGTAGCACGAAAGTTATGTGCATCCTGGACTGTTGCCTAGGGCTAATGATGATGTTTGAAGCTGACTACTTTTTTTTTTATATATATATATATATATTTATTGCCTCTTTTCCTCTATGTATAGACAAATTCCTAAGGAGCAAAGTACAAAACAGAAACTTTCAGATATACTTTCCACACAAAGCTGCTGTTTGCAATTTACAAAAAGTAACTACTATTTGAAGGTTCGGAAGAGTGATATTACAAAGTGTTCTGTCTCTTCAGAATTTAACTTGTTTKTTTTTTTTTTTTTTKTTYAGAAACTTAGTTTTYAGTAATGTCTCTTACATCCTTGTTAAGAGGAAGAAGCCATATGTTGCTAGTCTATTTTAAGGATTTATTTTAATAACAGTGAAATGAAATTATGGCATGTATATTTTTTTCACCTCTGGACAAATTTGTGATAAATTATGTCATTCCATGTGTGCTTTTTCATGCATCCCTAGTAGTTGCTAGCCTCCCACTCACTGAATATCTGAACTCTACCTCCCTGGGAAGAGTCCATGCTGTTCTCAATGAGATGTGAAAGCAAATGATCACATATATTATTACTTAGTCTAACCTATCTTTGCTGAAGACATGAAGCAGTCAGCCTTTCTAAAACTTGGAAAGCTGCTATTAATTGTTATTAGCTGGTTGCAGTTGTTATTAGGTTGATGGAAATGTATATTCCCTTGTCCTATTTGTAATTTTGTAATCTTATCCAAGATSACAAAGAAAACATTGCTACTAAGGTCTTGTTATCATTGCCACCATAATTGCTTTACTTTAGAATTAACTGATGGCATCATCTTTGATTACTTGTCTTCTAAGTTCCTRTGCAGCTCAGTTGTCAAAATGACAGAGCTGAAGAAAATGCTRAAGCACAACTGGCTTTATACAGGTGTCTACAACAGGCTACAATGTATTTCAGTTTTGACTCGTAACTTTCATTGCTTCTTTTCCTCTGCTATTCTGTCCCTTTTTTTGGGAATATATGAGAGACCACTTGAGCAGACAGTTGAAGCATCAGATGCTCTGTCAGCAATGTTTGCCCTCTACTTGGCTGTAGAGGTCACCAATACCTGAGCAAATTCCCCTTGTTGCAGGTAAAGTAATTATCTTYAGCATCCTCAACTCCTAAAAATGCTTTTATTAAAAAAGGCATCAGGGGCTGAGAGTCATGGTTGGACTAATTAATAAGTGTTACAAACAAAACATTACTCCTAGATACTTACTGTTTGACAATAGTACTGCTCATATTTGAAGTTTTATTTGAACTGCAATGTATTTTTCTTGTCTTGTTCCTTTGTACTAGGATTATTCCAGTGATGATACTAAACTAGAATACAATGTAGATGCAGCCAATGGCATTGTGATGGAAGGTTATTTATTCAAGCGAGCCAGCAATGCCTTCAAGACTTGGAACAGGTAATTATTCAGAACCCCTGTTTGCTGCTTATAAAGATACTGCTTTTTAACCTGAACTCTGGTCTGATTCATTATCTCTGTAACTCGCTGACTCCATAGTTTTGACAGAACACTGGGGTGACTCTGTTAGTTAATTCAGAGATGACATTTCAAAGCCATTTTTCCTTGTTTCCTGTCCTGGTTGTTTGCAAACCTTTCTCTTGCAAAAGCATCTGCTAGGAAAGTGTTAGAAGACAGAGTAAAATGGAAGTTGTATAGCCATTGGAAGCAGAGAAACACTGTCAAGGACTCAAGTTATTTTCCCTGAAAGATAAGCAATGTAATTGTTATCCTTTAAAATKCCTGTCCTGTGCAGTGACTTTTGCTTAGTGGTTTTGATGGCCCTTTTGGGAATACAAAATATATTGCTAGTCGTTTATTTTTTACAATGTATATTTTACTATTATTTAAATATTTTTCTACTTGAAGAGAATTTCTTTTGCATTTCCAAAGGTGTGTGCCCTTTTCAAATAAATGTATATGCTGGAGCATTTACAGCACAGTTGGATACGGTTCTTGAATTTTAAGTGTAAATTGTTGTGATATAGAACTCTCTTTACTCTCCATGTTCCTGCTCTTTGTTYAGCAGTGCTTTTGTTAAACTATTYGCTGTGTTTCAAAGGCCAGAATGTYCTTTTGAGTGTATGGTCYCTTCCAATCTTAATTATTCTGTACTTCCYTGAGCATCTCAGCACACCACAAGCATGTAACAAATTGGGACTCCTTCAGTTAAGTCCCTAGACTGATGCAAGGACCACTGGTGTCAAATAAGACCGTTATATTAGCAGGTCATGGGCAACTAGTACAAAGGATTTTGCTTTGGACTGATTCTGGTCTGGTCCTCTGGCCTGGTCATTCATTTGTAATTCTAATGTACCATCTGGATTAGTTTCATGCAAGCAGAATTCAGAGTTTTCCAGGACAAATTTGTGAAGCATCAAAGGATGGTGAAGAGAGAAAACTGGGAGATGTGCCTCGAAAGCACCTTCCTGGTGTGAAGGAAAATGTTAGTGTAAAGATAGAAAAATTTGYAGTAACAGGAGATTGTCCTTTATTGAATTCTCAGGGGACAGAAAGGGTCCCTTTTGCAAGGTGTTTTGCAGGATTGACTGAAGGCAAAACTGACTTTGGGTTCTTTTGAGTAGCAGGAAGGCCTGGCTCTGCCAGGAGGTGAAGGAAGGAGCAGGACAGGAGTGTCTTCTTCCCCATRGCTTTCCCTAGTCATACTGTACTGTGGCTTACCTTGAAGTGGTTAGAGAATAGGATTCAATTAAAACTAACTTCTGTATATTGGAAATTTAAATGGACACAAAGTAAATAAGGAAAAGTTGTAATTTAATCAAGGCACACAATGACATTCCTTCAGATTAAGTTACTGACTTGAACRTACATAAATTATTGCTTGGATATGCTTTTATTATTTAAGAGAGTCAAGACAACCAGCTCATTAATGAGTCAGAGCTGCCTACTTTTATTATGTAATGGATATTTGCTTATAGTTTTTTCTTCTGTTTATCACAGGAGCATTCAATAAAGCAAAACCTTTAACCTTTTTTAATATTTGATTCTTGATAATTTGTCTCACTGTGATAGACTAGTTGGATGCTTTTAGAAAAAAATGGGATTGAGTATGCTATGTATACAGTTCTGAAATCAAATAAATTATTTTAATTTTGTATTCCACATATTCACAAGCTGTTACTAATTATTATTAAACTACTGTTATTGTACATAAAATATACATTTAAGACCTTCTTAATGAAGACATTTTTTAATTTCTGAATCTAGCCCCCATTTTTTGCTAAGTTTTAATAAAAATAGGGAAGTATTTTTGTTATTTCTGAATACATTGCTTGCTATGCWGTAGGCACAGAAGTGGTCACTGCCATTTTCCACTGCCTCTTTCCCTTGGTGGAAGGTTTTACTCGAAATGCTACAGTTTCAGCTGTGGGGAGACAATACTGATTAAAGTTTATCATATATTAGAAATTTCCAGTCACTAGGTAAAATACAAGAAAGGACTATGTCATAGCATTAAACTGGTTTTTGTATGAAAATGTGCAAAATATCAAAGGCGGAAACATTTAGAGAAKTTTACATTACAGAATTCTGAGCTGGTCAAGACAGACAAGATACTTTCAGTATTCTTATAGGCTGGTAGTTTGCTGCTTCATTATATGCCCATCTTTGGGGAAGGTGTGTGGAAAATCAGCTGAAACAAAAGGAAGCATTTGCCTAGAAATGCTGGAATTTCCTGCTGTTCTGAACCAAGGGTGACAGCACTGGTCTTCCTTGCTGACTGCTAAATGTGTTGTCAGTAGCAATATGTATTTAAAGTGAAGGCTTCTTATACTCCTGTTGGGATCAGTTAATATTTTGTTGGTTCTAGACCTTTTTAAGAGTTCCTTCAAGAATGAATTAATGCTCCCCAAACCCCTCAGAATGACCATTATTTACAGATACTTGTCAACATTAAAAACATAAGAGAAGAGGCAAGGATACRATAGGTTTTGTCTGGGTTTGACACACATCAGTGTGATTCTAGATGACAAATTACAGATCTCTGATCTTTCTGTGTGCATGTCTTGGTTGGTGAATCTATGGACCCCTGGTATTATCCTGGGAAAAGTCTGCTTGCTGGGGGAGAAAAATAATGAAGACTGTATAATAGAGCCCTTTGAAGGGAGGCAAATCTGTTATAGTGAATGAAAACTTGTTTTGTTTCCAGTCCAAGCWAATGTCTTGCAAGGATGATGAAGTTTCTTCCTGGGGCACCTGGCAGCTTGCATTTCMTTGTCTCAAGACTTTAATTATTTGGGCTTTTGCATCAAGTTTCCTGTTCTTGGGATGGTTCTGCATGACACTGGCTTAGGAAACAATTAYGTGTTTGAGGAGGCTGCAAAGTAAACCCTGAGCTATTTGCAATTCAGTGTCACTGTGTTTTGAAAGAGATGGAGCTTTTGTAATCTTTGTGTTGTGACTAAAGGACAGTGTACAATGGATGCAAGTATTTCAGATAATACAGTTTAGTGGACTCAAATTATATCATTAGACTGCAAAGTCTTGCAATAATAGGTGTGGATGCCTGTGTTTTGAATRTATGTCTATCTGTTGGTAAATTATATACCTTATTGTACAGTATTTTTCTTAAGGCATCAGGAACTGGAGTCAGGTGCATTTATTATGGAGCAGTAACTGGAAAGCCATTTTGGTTCCCATAAATTCAAACGAAAAATAAGTCCATATCATAAAGAAAGAGTGTGTGTAGGGAGAAATGCATTTGTCAAAGCACTAGCATGTTCCAAATAGGTTTTAGATTGGATGCAATAGATATTTCCTTTTTAATTCTGCTGTATTTTCAGATCATGCTAATTCTTTTCTTATTTTGCTCATTTTGCATTTTTCATTCCTTTTCCTCCTTTCCCTTATGTTTTAATCCTACCCCATTTTTTCACATGACAGGAAAAAGCCAGATCACATCAGGTACCAACCACCTTCTTTTATACCTTCCCAATGTTTCCTTGGCACGCAAATAGCTCTTCATTAACCCTGCATTTAATTTTGATTACTTGCAATGGATGTATAAGTGACTCAGTCTAAGAAAATAACAGAAGGATTCTGCCTGGRATGCCAGTATACTTGCTGCTCAACTCCTTTAAAAGATTTAGAAAGATTGAGCTACATTTTAGCTAATAAGGGAATTAAAGCCAAGTTTTTGCATTCAAACTTCTGAGCATACAAGATGAATGTCTTGACTTTTTCCAGTTGAAGTTGATGCGACTTTTTTTCTTATCAACTGCATTAGGACTAGATACGTACTTTTAAATGTTGTGCATTCCTAATCGCTCTGTTTTTATTTGTGTGCTGCTAGCAACTAGAGAAGAAAACTTTGTTTCTGAGAATAATGAACACAATTCATTTTTTATGTAAAACTCAAATTTTATATTTATTTTCAGTATTGTTCTCAGTTCACAGAAACTGGATTTTTTCCTATGGATTCTGCACTGTTTCCTATTTAACAAATACAGTTTTGAATTGTGTAGGTATAAATGATGGAAAACATTCAGTTTCTAAACAGGAACAACTATTTAAGCACTACAAAGTCAGTGTATACTACTTYAATATTCCCAAGAATGTTTTCTTCTTCACCATGCTTTTCTGTTTGTGACAAAATGACACATTTGAAGAAACTTTGGTAATAATCAGTACTTACTGCMGACATGTTGCCTAAAGGTTTATGAAAATTATTCTTAAAAAATTATAGATCTAGTTACCCTTTAACAGCCCCATCAGTACATAGATTGTACATCAGAAGTTCCTGGCTGATGCTGGTGTAGACTCCCCGCAGTCTGTTTGCTACAGTAAGTGTGGAGTTTATTGATGGTTAATGGTGAATAACTCCAAGTTTTTGTCCTGAATGAAAGTAATATGGTGCTGACACCTTGGAGRGCAGCCTGACACTTTCATCTTGTCTAACGTCAAATAAAATTTATTAACTGATATCTACTTCTAAAGTGTGCACTACAAATTATCCTACATTCTAAATTGTYGATCTTGTTCAGTAAAAATTTCTTTTGTAAAGTTACCAAAACCTGCACCCTTGCTGGCTGGACTGAAATTTTTTCTTCAATTGATTTAGTACTAGGGAAAAAACGGGGCTGAAATACTTTCRAAACTTCTAGACTAGATTTTAAACACAGCAAAAATTGTGTTACAATTTGTATGTTCACTTATATCCAGTTGATGAGATTAGAAGTTGCTTACTAAGGTAACTCATGAAATATTTAGCTGTAGAACAAATGAAGCATCTCATTAATTAATTGCACTATCGAAGGCAGGGATTTGCTCCATTGCACGTTGTCTTGGGGCAAGGCTGCTTTTTCCCCGCTCTTTATCACTTAGACACCGCTTTTCATGTTTTTCTATTTTGTTTTATGTTGAAAAAAAATGTGAAAAAAGACTGAGTTTATTTCCTTTTCAAGTCTGCTTTTTTGTTGAGTTTCCTATATAAATATTAGCAATAACCTGCCTTATATTTGAGGCTTAGTTGCTGCATCTGTAAATAGATGGTAAAGATAATACCTTTTCAATAGCTGTGACTGAAACTACTGCTGTTAATAAAATGAAAAAGTCAAGGACAACAGGAGAGCCAGTTGTTACTTTTTAAATTAAATATATCTGCACAACATTTCAAAAGATTAATTGTTAAAAGGTAGAATCTGATCTGTCTACTAAGCACTAACTTTTCTAACAAATACTAGATTTTCTGTTTTGATTCTAACGTTGTTTTTATCTCTAATTTTTCTTAACCATCTTTGTGTGAGTCTTTCCATGAATGGCTTGTGGTGGTTGTATAAATACATGGAGTTCTCTTATTCCTAATTGCAGTAAACTGTAGCTTGAAGCTCAATAACCTGTGGAAAATAACAAGATCAGTTGCAATACATTATTTTGTGTATTATTACCATTCAAACTAACTGGCACTGCAGGAAAAGGTGATGTGTGGTAAAAGTGGGGTATTGGAGATAATTGAGGAATTATGCTGTGGTAAACACAGGTTTGCATTATAATCCTGAGCAAAACACAAAGTGTGAATTTCGCTGAGTTGTTTTTTACATTCCCTTCATTTTTGCCGGTATGAAACAGTGATTAGCTTTTATTTTGTGCATYCCCAGAGGAGCTAGAAAGGTATGGTTATGTCTGCTGGAGTCCTTTTTTTTTTTTTTTTTTTCATTCAGTGGTCTGATAAAACATTATTATTAGAGATCTGAGGCACACAAAGATCAGAGGTAACTTTTTCTAAACTGTGAGTGATTTTTCCATTGTCTGAGTTGTATCCAGTGTGAACAGTGAATTTGACAAGGAAGGATACAGTTCAGGGGAGTTTTTAGGCATTATATTATCTTTTGGATTTTAAAGGATTCCTTCATTAACCCTTTAAGTTTATATTTTCCTTCAAAACTGAGGCTTAGGATCCTACTTAAAAGGTTTTAGTTGGGGTTTTTTTTTAGTTTTTATATGCAGTCATTTTATTTCAGGATCAAAAATTTTAAGACATGCCCTATATCGATAAATATTAAACCTGCATGGGATASCAACACTGAAGTATTTTTAGTGCCTTAGTAAGTTAGTTCTTAGTTCTACTCTCAAATATATTTCAGGATTAGTTTACATGGGTTAAAGTATTTTTTTTATTCAAACTATTTGTGCTATCAGGCAACTACTTAAAATGGTGGCTTGCTGCTAAAATACAGAAAGCAATGTTCTTTGAAATGAAAATGTTTTGTGTGATAGCTTGACTAATGTTGTCATAACATGAATGTGTTTGTTTAGGACTCAAATTATCTGAATCTTGCTTTCTTTTCTGTTTTGTCTCTGCCTTCCCTTTTTTCATTATTCTCACAAAATATTTGCCAAAACTGACTGCAGCATTACTTTTGTGAATTCTTTTATGCAGTCTCTCTCTAGACTGTATATTAAGATGTCTCAGTCAAATAAGCACTGTAAAGTCAGTTATGTATTCTCTGGATGTCTCTTCRTTTGAATAGGCGCTGGTTCTCAATACAAAATAACCAACTTGTGTACCAGAAGAAATTTAAGGTAGGAAAYGAAAACTGCCTTGGGATGGTTCGGGGTTTGGGTGATGATTTTCCTGATTTATTGGGGAAACTGCTAACGTGGCATCCCATGTGATCTTTTACAACCTACTGCTTTTTTCTAAATTAGTTTCTCCCTTTGTAAAATGAGTCTAATAGCTACACTGACAGATTCTGAGATTCCTGTGCAGTGACTTGTAAGCACATACTTTATTTGCTGTGGGTTTTGTAACCTAGTTAGAGCTTTAAAAGTTGTTAGTCCCAAAAGACTTGTGCTCACTTGCTGGCAGCCAAATATTCCGTGCTGTTCTCTGAGCAGTTGTGTTTAACTCTTTCAGGACTTTCTCCCAGTCCTTACTGGTTTCACATACCCCATTCAGCAATTGGGGAAAAAAAAACATAGAAAGCTTTTGTTACAAAGCAGTTAGGGCTGCYCGATGCATGTATTTACCATTGAAAATGCACAGTATTGTGCAGTCAATATCTGCCTTATTCTGGTTGGAAGTGCAGTTGTATGTCAGAGCAGCAAGTCCAGCTTTGCCACAAGCCACAGAAGCCTTTTCAGTCAGCTTTTGGGCCCCTGCTCCTTTGCTGTTCTAGAATCTGCTTTTGCTACCACAGAGCTGTAGCTGTTCTTCAGGTTGGAAAAAAAAATAGAGATTTTATGGAGACAGTGGAGAAAAAACGGGGAAAGAGCTCATGACAATTCATTCCTCTTCACTGCAAACAGACTGGGTTCTGGGGCTGTTCCTTGTTATCTGATGCTGTCAAATCAAGCAGCTTCATTTCTGTGGTTGGAAGGGAAGCACACAGGTTTGAGAGAACACTTTTGCCTGGGCATTTTATGTTTGTGAATTCTCGTTGCTTTTTTTTTTTTTTTTTTTT